TTAGCTTTCCCAAAACTGTAATCAACCAGTTTACAGCGCAACACTCGCCCATCCATCCTTTCGCGTGGGCCCGCACCAACATGCCGCTTGGGAACTTCGTTTCTTTAGGCAGCGTCTAACGCTTAAAAATAATGAAAGGTCATGGACGGGAACTACCCGCCAGACGGCAGAAAACAATTGTGAACTGTAGCATACGCACGCACGCATGCACGCGCAGACGGGACGTGCAAGCTAGGCCGATACAAGGTCACTGGACCTTAGCGACTCAGGTGAGACTTGAAAAAGATACACAGCACAAGCATCCCGTGCACCACGGCCGATGACTCGACAACGGCGCTGACTACAGGATAGATGATTGAACAGTGTCTTGTGCCTTACCGTGATACAGTGTTAACTTGTGTCAATCTATTGTTACTTTTGACTATCTATTTTCCTACCTAATCTCGGAGTTTTCATTATTATTTGTTGGGTCGTTAATTACAATTAACAATACGCAACCGCACTTTCCTATAAAACCCCAACAAATTTGGTGACCCCGACGTGACCTAAAATGGCCTCCGAAGACAGCTATTTGATGTCCTCTGTATCACATCAACCAACGCACAGAATGGGCACTGTTTCAGTCAACCTTCCGCCGTTTTGGCATCATGATCCAGCAATCTGGTTCTGTCCGGTCGAAGCACAATTCCATCTCCGGAATATCACACAACAGTCAACCATGTTTTATCATGTGCTTTCTGTGCTTCCACCTGAAGTTGCTGCGGATGTTCGTGATGTGTTACAAGCCCCAGATCAAGTTACCCCTTTTAACACTTTGCGCGACACTATCATCAAACGGACAACGATATCAGAATATAAGCGTCTGGAACAACTCCTCAACGGTGCTGATTTGGTGCATGTACACCATCACAGTTACTTCGTCGAATGTACAGAACTTACCGATCGAATTCTAACAACAGACAGTCTAACAACTACTGCTGGTACCACAACAAATTTGGTCATAGAGCAAGGAAAAGTGTTTCCCCCTGTTTGTTCAGAAACTCTAAAAACAATGCTCCGCAGACGCCGGAAAACCACCAGGCCGAGTGTTAGGGGCGAGTAACACTCGTGGCTATCAAACCCAATCTCGCCGTCTTTCTGTTGTGGATCGTACTTCTTGATTGACACTGGAGCGGACGTTAGTGTTATTCCCCCGCAACCCACCGACACTCACCCTCCTGGGAATTTTTATGAACTTACTGCTGCAAACGGTACGTACATTTGGACAACGTTTGCTGACACTTAATTTGGGATTACGACGTGAGTTCCCTTGGATTTTTCTTATTGCGGATGTTCGCCAGCCTATTTTAGGTGCTGATTTTCTTACACATTTTAATTTATTAGTTGACTTGAAAAACCGTAGCCTCCAAGACGGTATTACTAAGTTATCTGTGTGCGATGAACCTATCATTTCTTCCCAATCTGTTCCATTGTTATTGTCCACGCTTCATCCAACCTCCTATTCTTCCATACTTAGAGATTTCCCTAACCTGCTTAAACCCAATTTTCACCAGGCCAATCCCAAACATTCTGTAACCCATAGGATAGAGACTCGTGGTAACCCCGTTTTCGCTCGCCCCCGACGTATGCCACCTGAACGCTTGCTCATCGCCAAAAGGGAATTTCAGCACATGCTCCAACTGGGAATTATCAGACCCTCTCACAGTACTTTTGCTTCACCCTTGCATATGGTCCCTAAGTCAACGCCAAATGATTGGCGCCCCTGTGGTGACTATCGAGCCTTAAACAACTCCACTATCTCCGATAGATATCCCCTTCCTCATATCCACGATTTTACTGCAAACATTACCGGTTGTACAGTTTTCTCACACATTGACATTCTCAGAGCGTATCATCATATCCCTATTCACCCTGATGATGTGCACAAGACAGCTAGTACCACTCCTTTTGGTTTATTTGAGTTTTTGCGTATGCCCTTTGGTTTAAGGAATGCTGCCCAGACCTTCCAACGTTTTATTGACCAAGTTCTCCACAATCTGGATTTTGTATTCTGTTATTTAGATGATATTCTCGTTGCTTCCAAAACCCATGATGAACACATCACCCATCTTCGCATACTGTTTCAACGCCTACAAGATCATGGTGTAGTACTTAACGTTCAGAAATGCGAATTTGGTGTTTCCTCTTTAAATTTTCTCGGACATACGATTAATCAGCATGGCATTACTCCCGCACAACCTAAGCCAGACGCTATCACCTCATTTCCGTGTCCCACTTCTCTTCGTCAACTGAAGCGTTTTCTTGGAATGGTTAATTATTATCGTCGTTTTATTCCTTATGCAGCCGCTATGTTGATGCCTTTGACTGACCTGTTAAGAGAAACTCACTCTGACTTTCATTTTTCTGAACAAGCTCAACAAGCATTTGAGAAAGCCAAAAGTACCTTAACGAAACAATGTACCTTGTTTCATGTGCGCCAAGGTGCCCCTTGTCTCTCCACGTCGATGCATCTAACATTGCAGTAGGGGCTGTTCTTCATCAAACCGTTGACCACCAGAAACAACCACTTGGTTTCTTTTCCAAGAGACTTCCGCCAACGGAGACGCGGTATAGCGTATTCGGTCGAGAACTTTTGGCCATATATCTAGCTGTGCGTTACTTCCGACATCTTTTGGAAGGCCGTGAATTTTGCATCTATTCAGATCATAAACCTCTTGCTTCAGCCTTTTCTGCTAATCCTGACAAATATTCGCCCCGAGAGATTCGCCAACTTGATTACATCTCTCAGTTTTCCACTGATATCCGGCATGTTGCCGGCAACCAAAACGTAGTCGCAGATACTGTCTCGTCCTGGTGTTGACTGTGTTTCCACAATCGATTTACACCAGATGGCGAAGGCTCAGAGAACTGAATCATCCGAATCATTCTCATCACCCTCTGAGAAATTCTCACTTGTGTTAAAACCACTCCCTCTCTATACACATCCTGGAACAATCGAATGTGATGTTTCGACGCAAGTACCACGTCCACTGGTACCACCATTTATGCGCCGACAGGTTTTCGAAACTTTTCACAATGTTTCACATCCAGGAATCCGCCAATCCATCCGTCTCATCTCTGAACGATACGTATGGCCAAACATGAACAGAGACATCAAGGAATGGGCTGCAAATTGCCTTTCCTGTCAACGTTCTAAAGTCATCCGCCATACACGCTCAGCTTTCGGAACCTTTAGCAATCCCGATGCCCGTTTTGCTCATATTCATTTGGACATCGTCGGTCCTCTTCCTGTGTCAAATAGTAACGCGTATATCCTCACTTGCATCGATCGCTTTACGCGTTGGCCAGTCGCTATTCCTATACCTGACACTCACACGGAAACAATCGCTCGTAATTTCATTAACCATTGGGTCGCGACATTTAGTGTTCCAGCCACCATTACGACTGATCGCGGTTCCCAGTTTAAATCCATTCTTTTCTCAAACATTACCAACATTCTTGGATGCCAACGCATCCGTACCACGGCATATCACCCGCAAGCAAACGGCTTAGTGGAACGTTTGCATCGCCATATCAAAACAGCTCTAATGGCTCACAACAACCCATCTCAATGGTGTGATTTACTACCACTTGTGTTGTTACAGCTACGTACAATGTTTCGACAAACTTTGCAATGCTCACCCGCAGAACTTGTTTTTGGAACCACTTTACGCCTGCCCGGCGAATATTTCTGTCCGTCTAGTACAGAACATTCACAATCATCTAATTTTGCAACAGAGTTGAAAGTACACATGTCAAAACTCTGTTACGCACCTCCACTCTCAACCAGCACAAGTTCTTACGTTCCTTCTGACTTAATGCATTGCGCTTACTTTTTCATACGTTCAGATCGTGTGCGCAAACCCCTTCAACCACCGTACGATGGACCCTACCGAGTCATTTCTCGCGGGCCTAAGCATTTCACTGTTCAACTCCCAACTCGGACCGACACAGTGAGCATAGACCGTCTCAAGCCCGCACACATCGAAGCTGCAGTCAATCCATCGAATCACGCCACTACTACGAAACCGCAATCACCAGGCACGCCTCCGAACTACGTCACACGTTTCGGTCGTCAAGTTACGAGACCCGACCGATTCAGACCACTTTGACTCTTCGCAAGAGAGGAGTACGTGTAGCATCCGCACGCACGCACGCACGCACGCACGCACGCACGCACGCACGCACGCACGCACGCACGCACGCGCAGACGGGACGTGCAAGCTAGGCCGATACAAGGTCACTGGACCTTAGCGACTCAGGTGAGACTTGAAAAAGATACACAGCACAAGCATCCCGTGCACCACGGCCGATGACTCGACAACGGGGCTGACTACAGGATAGATGATTGAACAGTGTCTTGTGCCTTACCGTGATACAGTGTTAACTTGTGTCAATCTATTGTTACTTTTGACTATCTATTTTCCTACCTAATCTCGGAGTTTTCACTATTATTTGTTGGGTCGTTAATTACAATTAACAATACGCAATCGCATTTTCCTATAAAACCCCAACAGAACCGTGTCTTCTCGTGTTTCGTCATCTTTACAAAACAGTCTTCTCATTGTCTTATTTAGAGTGATACAGGGAAGTTAGTGCTTTAGATTTGAGGTTGCAAAGTCATACTGTCGGCTTATATACGGAGCGGGTTATATACGGCAATATACGGTATATATATATATATATATATATATATATATATATATATATATATATATATATATATATATTCTCATGAGTAGACGATTTCTGACATTATTAATTGAGAGTTGGTCGCAACAATTTCCAAGTCAATTATTTCTCCACACCCCCGGAGAAGCACAAGGCTGCAGTTTCAACCTGTTGGGCATCGTAAGCAGTGCGCATCCATCAAAGCCATCAGGATTCGAATTCATGATGACCAGCGACTAGAACCACCAGCTCGCAGCGAATACCATTGATCCATGGAAGACAGTGGTGGACGGTAAATCATGCATGTATGAGGAAGGTCATAAAGTGCTCTACAGTCAAGTTCCTTTCACACACGTGCAACATCCTTAAAATAGGAGATGTTTCAAAATGTATGACGGTTTGCAGTCAACCCCACAGACCGATGACTGACACGCTCTCCGTAGGCTGGCTGCCATTTGTTCTAATACCAGGAATCTATCAAATAAGAACTAGCCAGCAAAGAGGAAATAAGTTCTACAAAGTGAACATCACCAGAACTGTTCATCGTGAGAACAACTGAGTCGCGCCGTCTGTAATGCAAACGGGAAAGATCCAAGTTTGAAAGTTGCCAGAAGACACGCTATTGTATAGCACGTATACGGACAAAGAGATCTTGAAAATTAGCCAAGCACCTTTTAGGTCGCTGTGTTCACAGCAAAGCGTATCGTCGGAAGCAATGATCAAATGGATCATAAGAGGTAAACGAAAGAGTACAAATCACGAACGGTAACTGAACGATAGAAATAGCACATAGCAAAATAATGAAACAAGGAATACATGCCAAACATAGCTCATCAATGATTGTCCAAAAGATCTGGTGAAGTTAAAGAGTTATGTGGAGAGAACATCTACTGGAAATCAATAACCATCCAAATAGTGCGGTTGGACGAGCGGTAACCGGCGCAATTTCCTCGTCTCTGCGTTCTCTTGACGGTTCACAGATAGAGGAGACAGAGAAATCATTCCATATCCAAACGTTGCTAAACCATTCACTTCCTCTTCTGAAGCGCCGAAATAACGCGCAAGAGCAACTGAGAAGGTGTAGAATGCAGTCCGGAAGGCACCATGCCGCAAAGCGAAATTGGCTGGAACTCCGGCAGCAGCAGTGCGGGAACGTGTCACTATCAGGCGACCCAGGTGGCGGCGACAGGCAATTGCCAGATCGAGAGAGTGCAGCGCACGACTAGATGTCGGATATCCACCGAGGCAGGCCAGATACTGAGAGTGAATAAAACACGGCTGGCCGACAATGGGGATCTCTGACCTAAGGGAGAGAAAGTTAGACAGTGCCAAGTTAGAAACACAACACAAGGTGCGAAAGATGGAAACCCACAAACGATTCTAAATGTGATACTGTTTAAGTTACGAGGTCTTAGCTTCAATAACCATTTCCTCACCAACGTATTTCACACCTTATTCCAACAGACTGGGTGTAACACACTCGTAACACTTAATATTTAGAAAATTGAGGCTGTGCCTATTCTTATCCACTAGGGGCACTACGCCCAAATATGGCCTTACATCACTTGATAGTATATCTGTATGGCAAGATGAGGGTTAGTGGTCTTCCTGGATTTGTCATCCATCTCAGCGACAGTAGTCTTCAAACATAAATAGCCACCAATCACCCTCTCTAACAGACAACCACCAAAAGTTTAATATAAATGTGGGAAGATCTCTCACAAGCACTCAGATCAGGAACCAGTGAGACAAAACGTTTAGACTGACTTGAAATCGCTCGATCCAGCCACAACCATCTCATAAACCATAGAAACGAATGCAAAGAAAGCAGGAACTAGCGACAATGCCTAAAAACAAACTCGATGCTCCCTGTATGTATCCAAAAAAGACAGGAAGACCAAATCCCAGCGTGATTAATGTTGGGCCTTGTTACAAAACGTCGAAGTAGTTTCGACCCTTAATTTGAAAGGATGAAATTTCTTCACAAATAATAGAGGCGTAAGCGGAGCACGTAGGCTCTCCGCTACATGCAAAGGTCATCAGTACGGGCGTTCTACGACGTCTGACCCTTCCGCTGAATTTATGATTCGAGTGATTCATCGGCTAGCAAATACCAGCACGCGTCAAAGGAATCAAACTATTCCGTCAATATGATAAACCCGTGGAGCGGAATTCACTCACACTGGCTGAAAACCAGACACAGAAGAGTGAGTGAGCTTGACCTCCTAAATTAGCATGTTTCGTTTACAAATAGATAGGGTTAACCTTTCCTGTAGATATACTCTCTGTCTACCGAGTTCTGGCCTTTTGTATTAATTCGGTTGCCTAGGCGCGTGACTGAGCAGCAAGACAGACGCGCTCTCACAGAGCAGCAAAAGGAAGCAGTATAACAGTCGTCAGTGGCAGAGAGCAGATGGAAAGAAGCAGCACCCCACACGTGCAGAGTAGCCAGTCGAATTCGTAAAGTTGCACGCGAACGAGACCTAACCGCCAGATCTACACGCGAACTAAGACTGGAGAGGAATACGCGCAACCTAGCACCGACAGCACGGTGACCCGACGGAGAAAGACTGGCCGTTAACAAGAGTTCTTTTACTAACTCAGCCAAGGTGAAGCATGCCTTCCATACCATTACTTTTATAACTCAATAGAATAGCATAAACTATAGAGAAAGGTGGATGTTGGCAAAGCACATGAGTTGTCGCCCAGTGATGGTGTCCTGAAGGAATCGCAGTTCGTGTCAGTATTGATTTGTGCGGTAACTATAGCAACAACTGCGGAGCTCAGGTGGTTCACTGCGGCAAAACACGATAGAGACAATAGTGACAAGAGGAGAGTTCAGTGGATTCGCCACAGCGTACACAACAGATGCCTGTGTTTCATGCAGCCATATCACTTCAGAAATGTTAAGAGAGCAAGAACGAACAGCATTTATGCGGGATAACCTGCATTCAGATTATTTCGTGTCTTCTCATTCAGCCGCTTACAGACAATTCGTGGAAGAGTAAAGGAATGCAATTGAAAAAGAGGATCAATAGGAAAATCAATAAAACACTGAGAAAATCAAGGTCATTGTCTGCGTCTTACCAGGGCAAGGCAAGGCTGGCCACACGTGCTTGCGGCAGCATGTACATTGGCCGAACCGAGAGAAGACTATCAAATAGGTTCATGGAACATGTTCCACGGAACCTGGCAAATAGTGGACCTAAACTCCCTGCCAGCTCCATCGCTCAGCATCTGCTCGATTGAACCTTGTGTGAAAACCCACGTGACGCAGTCAAGGTTATCAGCAGACAAAACAACGCGAGCTTGCTTCGTTTTGTTGAAGCCTCGACCATCCGAGGAATGAAAGCAAATCTTTGCAAACAGGTAGACCTTTTGGCTAGTCTTGCCTTGCCCTGGTAAGACGCAGGCAATGACCTTGATTTTCTCAGTGTTTTATTGATTTTCCTATTGACCCCCTTTCTCAATTGCATTCCTTTACTCTTTCCACGAATTGTCTGTAAGCGGCTGAATGAGAAGACACGAAATAATCTGAATTCAGGTTATCCCGCATAAATGCTGTTCGTTCTTGCTCTCTTAAGATGTGTGTCCTGAGTGGTTGATACCTTGATGCTGGACAACTATGTCTTGGGGATAGCACGGTTGTTACTAGCAGTCTGAGTCGCCACCTGATGCTTTTATGTGTCGCGTTTGGCGGAGTTTTGCTAGCCCCGTAACATATCTACATCTGCATAAGCACACTGACCTTCCACGTAAAACATGCTTTTACTAATATCTTATCAGATTCGAACATTTCACCGTTTCTTATTTTCCTTCGCTAGAGTCTTACACTATACCTTGGAAACAGATTAATGTATTTGGCCAATAGCCTGAATAAAAATTTAAATTGAATTTGAACTGCATTATATTCATGCATACACAAATTCCAGTTGAAATATGCACATGTACTTAGTGGAGACTGTAGCAAATGGGTTTCAACCACAGTTAATGTCACCTTTTCGCACTGATGACAACTTTTGAAATGAGTATGTTCACCATAGCTATCTTGAGGAATAGGGGTGGAGTATGCCTGAAATTGTATAAAGGATGCTCCAGTTGTCTTCAAACAAATGTAGTCTCCGGGTGAATTACACCTAATCGGTAGGGAAATAGGTAAAAACAAGTAGCGTCTAGCAAAGAATAAAACCACGAACCGAAGTGGTTCGTTGCAAGGGAAACGGTAGATGAACAAACGGCAAGTAAGGCGGTCTCTGATCAAACAACCATATTTGAGGCTGCAGGTCGCTACACGCTTATGTGCCGATGAGCATTCATGAAGTATGTTACAGTGGAATTTAAAGACAAGACACTATAACCATAGAAATATAATCTCAGATCATTTCACACTGCGCATCAGGTAACCATTGGTTCTATCCGGTGAGAATATTGATCCGATAAGCTTAATACGTCTATGGAACAAGGAGCAACCGGAGCTAGAGGTAGTGACGAAAGAGCCCATATCCGCGGATAAGGTAAGAAGCTCTCCTCTGTAATGGAGACAAAAAAGAAAAGAAAGACATCAAAAATGTGTCAGCACGGCATACCGACGCTTTGCTGCCAGTTGACGACCAACGGTCGTGTATGGACTGAGTATACCGCGAGGTGGCCCAGACCGGCGAACTCAAGATTACGACCCAAGCGCGCTGCCTTTTCGGCCACTGGTCGGCACACTTGTCCTTTCTACTGGCGCAATGTATAGAACACAGATTATTAAGGAGTTCGGTGAAATTGTACAGAATATTAGCTGAAGTCCATTCCCAACCAGACAGACTAAGCACATCCGGAAAAATATCGCTTTGTCCTACTGGAACTCGGTAGTAGCACATATTGGCTCGATCACTTCGGAGGTGGGACACACGAACCATATGCGTAAACCAGTGAGCAGAGCTACCCGACTGCAAACGGGCTACAACAAATATCCCCTAAAACATAGATTATGTTTATTATGTGTACCGACAAACGGTACACAACCCCATAAGCGGAAGCGATCAATACTCGTCACTTCCAGAGTAAGTAAAGGATAACAGGGCCTAGAGCATCAGGGATCTCTCGTTTGAGTAGATAAAGAACTGCTAGATGAGCCTATTGCAATTCCGACGCAAGTGATGTTCGCGAGGGATTTCTTCCGATCCCAGGCCGACGAAGCCAGTCATTGGTGGAGAAAATCTGTACGAGATCAAGCTCCTTTCGCGGAGAAGAGTCACACCCTAGTACAGATCCACCATTGCATACTGGTATCATTATGGAGACGGCAATGATAGCGGTTGAGTTCAGAGTGAGAAAGACACGATTCCGTTGTAAACATCGAGGACTTGTGTGCTTTAACAAAAACTATCCTATATTAAGGAAATTCGCATCATCATCATCATCATCAACAGCAGTATATCAGCCATTTGAACTGATACTTTGCTGCCATACAACCATGATGACCTATGAAATAAAGAATAAGAAGAGGGAGAGAAGGGGGACTTACCTGAAAACCTTAATGCCCTAAGCAAACATTCTGGGTCAAGGCGCCTACACCTTGTGTAGACAACATACCGTCACAAACAGCTGGCTATCGTGCAAAGATAAGGCGGCATCGACGAGACAGCTTCCTTGCGGCTTTCACTGCCACGCGTCATAATCAGCCATTACCCCGCAGATAACTAAGCACCAAACACACTTTAAACAGACAATCCGATTAGGAGACGGCAGCAGACGCGCCACTGGTGTCGGTTGCGAGCCATGTCCTGTAAAGTCTCGAGCCAAGCACAAGGTGTCACGTGGACTCCAACCCGGAAGGCGAGACGGACCAACGGCACCCAGTTTGGTCGTCAGTGACTTCATTTCCCGCTGCCAAGTCAACTTCTGTCCACCTCGAGCCTTGCGCCATCCGACACCTGGTAGACTGAACAAGGCCCTCCTAGGTAAGCGGTGACCAGGCATGCGTAGCACGTGCCCGAGCCAACGCAACTTATTCAGTGCTATCTGTTGTTCTAGGGAGCTAGCATGATCATCACCACCTAGTACTCGCCTACGCACATCATCGTCGCGGACACGCTGGTGCCATCCGACACCAGCAATGCTTCGCAAACAACGATGATCAAAGACTTGAAGGCGCCTCAGATCTTCAGACCGAAGGGGCCAAGTTTCACTACCATAGAGCAGAACGGCCCTCACTGTGGCCTTGTATACACGGCCTTTCAGACGGAGGGAAACTCCCTTCTGTCGCCAAAGATGACGCAGGTTCAAGAAGGCAGCTCTGGCCTTTGCAATGCGTGAGCTCACGTCAGTTTCTATGCGCCCATCATTGCTGATGCAGCTGCCAAGATAAGTGAAATGATCAACCACCTCGAGTTCCTCGTTAGCAAGCGTCAAGGGGTCATCGAGTGGCAGGTGGTCCTGCAGCAACACTTTGCACTTTGAAGGTGCGAAGTGCATACCAAATAATGGGACCACTCTGGACAGGCTATTCAGGGTTGATTGTGCTGCCTCAACATTGTCGAAAAGCAACACGATATCGTCCGCATAATCTAGATCAACTAACCGTTCACGAGGCAGCACTTCAACACCTACATCGTGAGATTCCGCAAGGGAACACTCCATGATAGAATCCACGACGAAATTGAACAAAAACGGGGAAATGGGGCAACCCTGTCGAACGCCACTTGTAGTCGAAAAGCTATCCGATAGGGCACCATAGACCCTGACGCGGCCTCTAGTGTTCGAGTATAGAGCACGAAGGATGTTCACATATTTCGTGGGAACACCTTTCCGCTCAAGTATTTCGAACAGAATCGATCGATCGACTGAATCGAACGCACTCTTGAAATCGAGGAACACAGCTATTGTCGGTCTGCAGTATACGTGGCGCTGCTCTAGCACCTGCCGCAAAGTAAATATATGGTCTATACAGCCACGTCCTGGGCGAAAACCGGCCTGCTCTTCCCTAATCCGAGATTCCCGTTCTGCAGTGAGGCGACGAATGATAATCGAGGTCAGTAATTTTGTCACAACTGGCGTTAGGCTAATACCCCTGTGGTTAGAACAGTCTGTGCGACTGCCCTTCTTGTATATTGCCACTATAATCGATTCGCTCCAATTAGCCGGGACACTTCCTTCTTTCTAGACACATTCGAATAAGGAGGTCAGTGCTTTGCAGAGGACCTCACCTCCGTCCTTAAATAGTGCAGGTGGTAGGGAATCCGGGCCAGCAGAACGAAAACGATTGAGGGCTGTGATCGCGTTTCGGACCTCGGCCTCCGACGCAGGCTCTAAACTAACCGTCCATGGCTCGTCCTGCATCACCTGAGTAGGAAGAGGTCCGGGAGCAGGGGGCCAGCTAATCTGATGTTCAAAGTGCTCAGACCAACGAGCCATACGGCGCTCCTTATTGTGTATCAGCGCACCCGCGCTGTCCCTGATTGTCTCACTGACGCCTGGTTTCCTCGGACCAGTGGTGCGTATGAGCTGGAAGAGCTTCCGGTAGTTACCTACTGCTCCTGCATCCTCCATTTCCTGAGCCCGACTGGTCCACCAGGCTTCCTTGTCAGCACGTAGGCTCCGCTTTAGTTCACGCCTAATAGCCCGTCTGGTCACATTGTGTTCAGAACCAGCCGGGAGGTGCCTTCTAGCTTCCAAAAGGTTCACGGACCTCTCGGATATCCAGTGACTGGTGCGGTGACGATTGATGGTGCCACAAACAGATGCTGCTGCGTCGGGCATGGCAGTCGAGATCCTATTCCACTGAAGTTCAGTATCATTAGGACAAGACAGCGAGAGTTGGTTATGCAGTGCTTCTTGATAGGCTTGCCTGACAGAGGGCTGGGACAATTTCTCCGTTGCCAATCGGGGGAGACGCTTTGTGCGCCTTCCGGTAAAGTTCATGGAGAAACGACAGCGCACCAAGGCATGGTCAGAGTCGACACAGGTACTCCAGTACGAGCGGCAATCCAGAATGGAACCGCGCCACCTGTAACTTATGGCTATGTGGTCAATTTGGGTACATCGCTGATCAGCTACAGGTGGACGCCAAGTGGCACTTCGGCGCCCAATGTGTCTAAAAGCAGCGCTAGTAAGAAACAACTGATGCTCCGCACACAGTTGCAGCAGACGCTCGCCGTTGTCAGTCCGTTCGGCGTTAAGTCCATACTTACCACCCAGCTGAGCTTCTGAAGAGCTCAGACGCCCTACTTGTGCGTTCATATCCCCTGCAAGTACCATAATATCTGAACTAGTAACACTGCGTAGCAGCGTGTTCAGTTCGTGATAGAAAGTGTCCTTGACTGCATTAGAACTGCAGACCGTGCGAGCATAAGCAGAAATCACAAACAAACAGGGTTTTGTTTTACTTCGCGAATTCACCTTAACTGATGTCGTCAAACAGGCTGCACATAAACGGCTGTTCAACGGAATCCAATCAACCAACGATAACTCAGCCTTGGAGCTGAGAATGATACCTACACCAGCTTGACCCGTGAGTGCCGCATCGGCGTCTTCGGATGCGTGCAACCAATAACGAGAGGATAAGCCGGGTGCAGTCAATTCAATAACCCCGTTAGGGTCATTAATCCTAGTTTCGGACACACAACACACATCAACATCCAGTGTGTCCAAGGTGCGTGAGAGTGCAGCCTGCTGACCTGTTTGTCTTAGAGTGCGGACGTTGAATGTCGCCATGGAAACGGGACAGCGTGGCCTTATAAGGAACTTTTGCCGATAGGCGTCCGATAAGTGCTGTGGGATGGTGGCTGCAGATGGTTTTACTCCAGTAGCACTTCGGTTGCTGTCAATTAAGCTGGGAATTATAGAAGGAAGGTTAGTAATGGGGGCCGGGATAGGAGTAAGAGAAAAAGGTGGAAAAGAAAGAAGGGAGGCGCCAGCAGTAGCATGTTTCGCTTATCCGCCCTGCTGTATGCAGCAGATAAGGCGACCCTTGATGAGCTGCGCGACGGCCGATGCAGGATGAAGTTTATGTTTGAAGAGAATGTCATGGTTGTATGTGGGCTGGGATACTGCCAGGGCGCCCAGACCTAGACAGGAGGACGATTAGCATTCTCATCCAAAGCATTTGGCTCAAAAGTCTGTCCGCAAGGCAGCGGGGTGGCAGTGATTTAGTTTTACAGAAATGGACGCCATCCCATTTCAAACCCCCAACCTGGAGGACCAGGAGACTGAGTTTGTCTGACCTCTCACCATTGACCAACCTGGTAGGAGTAGCTCTCGAGATGCTCGGAGGCATCACCCAGTATAGCTCAATGGGTCAATGAGGTACGCAAACCGTCGCACCACGTTAAGGTCCAGTCTCGTTGCGACGGAAGGAAATTCGCAGGAGGATGTGTATCTACTTTACCGCTTTGTACAATCTATCTGGTGAGATAATGAAACTAAATCGAATGGGACATACATGTGGATTTCCATCTGACGCACTTCGAGTTCTTAACAAAACGTCCCATCGGGAACCGACGCCACTGGGGTATTGGAAACACACAGCGTGGATGAAGACTCACCCTAGTGACCCTAGTGGTTAACTTCAAGTATTGGGTCCCAAACAGAAACAATCTGGTTGACTGAACAGAAAGCCCGGTAAACCCGGGGTTCACCATTCTCACTGTGATATACTCAAACCTGCCAGCCAAGAATCAAGTCAATTCATGGTAGAAGACCATGCAATGATGGAGACGACAGTGGTCATGATATTCGTAGGGGTGGTGGAAAGAGTCCAAGTGCGGGAACACGTGTGCAGCTCCCCATTGAGTAATACGTATTGATGGAAAAATCGTCAACAACCGCGTCCGTGAGCATATTTAACACAAGTATTAACGGATTAATATGGGTGGATGAACAAACAAGTGATGTTTATCCTGGAGTTTCCGGCGGATGCAGCTGAATATGCGCGAGCAAGTAAGTGTGGGAATCAACAATACGTCGGTCCAGAAATGGATCGATAATGCGCAAGTTCTCATCATCATCAATACACGTTAGCTGAGAGTGAGAAACACGCCTTAGCTAATATGCCGCAATATAAGGACAAAGTATAAAAATTTAAAATGAGTAATATATTGCTAAATATTATTTCACATATTAGATATAAGATCGTGATTGGAGGGGGAATCTAAAGGAGAGGGGAATGGGCAATGAAACTCATAGTACGAAGGTCATTGGGGCCGGCTCTTCGCTGTAGCAAGTAATGTGCCCAATCAAATGCGCAAGAGAACAACAAAGAAGTTTGGAAATAAATTTAGTGGCGCAAAGAAAAGTAATTGTGATGATAGGGCGGTTTTACGATCGAACATACGCGATGAATTCTGTGTTGTTTTGTAAAGACACATTTCGCTAGTAAATCGAAATAAACTTCCAAGATGGGATAATCGACAGTGGTGGTAGTGCCTTGAGAATTTGCGGAATTTGTCAAACAAAAGTTTCGAAAAACCTTAGAAATTTCTTTGTGGATCAAAATGCGGCTGACTTTTTGCAACGTTGAAAAACCCATAGAGGATCACAGTTATAGGAAGTTTATAAGCTACATGGCTACAAATAAGCGGCGGTGATTAACCCTAGAGCACAAGGTGATGAGGCGAGACCGAGTGATACTTGGAAATCACGATAGAGATTGAAAACCAGCGTAACGACTAAGAGTATGGACGGCGGCGACCACGTGAGTGTTCTCACCAAGCATACGCTAATTCCTACCTTGACGGGATTGCTGGTTAACGACAAACACGTAGTTCGCTCTCTCCTCGTTATCTCGGCTCCATGTTAGTCCACAAATCTAACACCTGATTGGGCTTTTTGCCGAGTGCGAACAGATACAGAACGAGACCTAGGTTTCTTATAAATGATAGCCTTCGCCATTAGGGTTTGCGCCGATCCCCATGCAGATACAGTGTGTGAAACGGGGCGGATCCTGAATGGTTGACGCAGCTTGGGAAAGTACGCGGGTAGGGAAGAGGACACAACACGGCTGACGTATCAGAATGGCTGCATGGCGCTAGTCAGATGATGCAACGCATGTATGAACGGATGCATCGGTTCGTCAACCTTAGTCGTGTGCATGACCTAGATGGATTACATTCCGATTACGCGGTGCGTTTTAAGAAGGGACCTGAGTGTGCGGCTTGGTCAACAGATCGGATGGAATAAAACTGATAAGCAAAAGTCATGGTAACTAAGTCGTTGGAACATTTGGATCAACAGACATCCCCTACTGCACTGCAGGCCGCGTTCGATCCCTGGTGACAGAGCGAGATGAAGTCGCTCTTATGCAAAACAGGCTGAGGACGCTACACAGTTGCAATTTCGCATACAACAACTTTAAGCTAGTATCGGTAGACTGAGTAGTTACGAGTCTGCAAGGTACGATTTAGGAGTATTAAAGAATACCCCTGGGACTCATTCTACCCAAGACAAGTAACTTTAAATTAAAATTTAAAGCAGTTAGTTCCCTTCAACAAGTTGAAAACCACGGAAAGAAGACGACGGCTGGTAAATGCATGCATTTCGTATTGTCTCCTTAGTACCACTAACAATAACCGATAAGTATAGATATAGCTAACAGTGGGTGCAACCAGACAAGCTTAAGGTGCAAAACGAATGATGGAAATTCACACCTACGTCCAAGGCAGCTTTAGGCTGACAAATAATTATTTCTGAACACACAAGGCTGGCTTAATCCGGCTTATTGTGACAGCCCCAGCAAACCGAAGGAAGCGGGGATTAGTGTGACGTATCACAACTTTGAATTAAGCCAGAAAGAAATTTAACGATCGACTGTTACTGAAGATTGAAAGGAAAATCGTGATCCGCTGATTGTTGTTTCTAGATCCTAGTGGCGTTGTCTGCCATTGCAAAGTAAAGACACCCTGGAAGATATGAAACGGCTCATTTGCTCAAGTCTCACAATTCACGTGCTGCTGTTGCTGAACATGTAACGAACAAAAGATAATTACTATCTTTTATGTACAATTTCATGACTGATCAAATATAGATTATTCTTTCTTGTTTTAATCTTCTTTACAACTGGCTCGTTATTTGACTGCGCTGTAAGTTGCCACGTTGACGTTTCGCTCCTGCCTCGTTTCATCCGTCCACGTCTTTTATAGTCCATCGAATATAATTCACTGCATCCGACTTCGACTCCCCTCTGATATCCGCGCACCGCCGTCTCGGAGTAGTAGTTACTAGTCCTATGCACACAAGAGCCACTTGTGGCCAACCGTGCTTCTTGGAAGCAGGTAACAATGCACACTCAGAAAGCATCGCGCAACTAGGTTAAGGATGGTGGCCATAAATGTGATCGCCGAGAAGGGAAAGCAAAGCAATTAAGTAGTAAATGGGAATTTCGATAGGAAGTAGTAGTAGTAGTAGTAGCAACAGTCTAACGAATAGGCATAGTACCATGCGAAAACCTTGGAAATCACAAGTTTAGACACTACATCTTCAACACAGCAAATTAGATGAAGGCGGGTAACACACTTCAGCTACTGCGCCGCAAGAAGAACGGAACCTTTTGTTATTTTTCACAGGCCATTTTTAATGTTTGTCTTTTCCAAGTGTTAAATATAAGGCAGCTGAATCTAAACAAGCAGATACACACATCGTCCACTAGTTTCGACTGCGCATCATATCCTATACTGTTTGTAGCCATCGGCACTTCACGTCCTTTGGTCCCGAACCAGGCAGACGTGTAGATCCAACGGCAGAAAGAAGTGAAGTCCACGAGTTCAAATGCTGTCGTCAAGTGGACGGCTGATCACCACGCGGTCTCTTCTAATTAGGTTCAGTACGAGCGAAAAAAGGCACAGTGGGGCAAGCGCTCAGCTGATATGCGTAGGACGTGACCGAACCATTTTAACTGACGCATCAAAACCAGTTTGTTGAAGAGGATACTCGCAATCCTTAAGACACGAAGTCGAACTTCACCGTTGCAGATACAATGTTGTCGCCACACACCAGCAATGCTGCTCAAGCATCCATTATCAAAAGCCGAGAGCCGGCGCATGTCGTCTACGCGAAGTGGCCACAACCCGCATCCATTTAGCAACACCGTCTGAACGGAAGCACTGCACACGTAAGCATTTACCAAGTGGGAGACATTCCGACGACGCCACAAGTGCTTCAGGTTAACGAACGCTGACTGAACTTTGGCGATGCAGTGAGAAACGTATTTCTCAATAGAGTCACCAAAAGAGTCACGCAGGTGCCCAAGTATACATAGATATCCACTTGTTCAAGCTGTGTACCTTCAACAATGAGCATTGGAACAGGCAAATGCCAATCCGGAAGTGGCACTTTATAGTTCGAAGGGGCAAACCACATTACGTACCCAGATGCCTCAATCGCCAAATGGTTTACAATGGTTTGCATGGTCTATGAGTCATCAACAAGTAAGGCGATGTCATCGGCATAATCTAAGTCAGTCGCTCGCTTGCCCGGTAACAGTTGCAGACCAAACGTTTGACAACGTTCCAGAGCTCTCGACAGATTGGATTCAATCGCAGAATTGAAGAGGAACGGGGACATATGGCAGCTTTGTCGTACACCACAACGGACAACGAAGGACGACGAAAGTTTGTCATACACCCTAACTATGCCGGATAGGTGGAAATATAGTGAGCGTAGGATGACAGTGTAGCTTTTAGGGACACTGTTCTTTAGCAAACGCCATAGTGCAGCTAGACCAAATTAGTCGAATGCGGCATGGATGTTCAATAATGCAACGATGGTAGGCCACTGGTAAACGTGGCGGTGTTCCAGGATTTGATGGTGTGAATATCTGATCCACACATTCGCGGTCAGGTTAGAAGCCAGCTTATTCCTCCCGGCACTGCGATTCGCGAATGGAAAACAGTCTACGGAGTAAAATGGATGCTAATAGCTTGGAAGCAACAGAAATAAGACTAACCCCCCGGTGATTGGCGCATGAAGCGCGAGCACCCTACTTAAAAAACGGGACAAGAACTGTTTCGCTCCAGGAAGAAGGCACCTTTACTTCATGCCAGATTTTGGAGAACAATGAGGCTAGCTGGCTAATGATAACTGCACCTAAACATGCGAATAGCTCCGGAGGAAGTCTGCCTGAACCGGCAGCCCTGAGTCATGTTAGGTATCGAATCGCAAGACGAACTTCTGCTTCGCTAGGCGGATCAAGTGTGACGACCCAGGGCGGGAAGTTGAGTTCGCAGGGCATATAGGTGGACGGTGAGGG